TACAGTGGTGTGCTCGATCGGTCCCCGAGGACGATGTCCATAGTAGGACCCCGGTCTCGGTCGGCGTAGAATGTCGATTTTCTCGGTGAGCGCGAGAATCTCGTTAAAGTTTGAGAGTCCACTCAGCATGATTTTGTGTGAGATATCCGGCTTCAACCCTCCGACGTAACGGTCCATCCGCTCCGCTTCGTGCATGTAGCCGACCTGCTCGCAAAGTGCGAGAAAACTGCTCGTGTAATCTTGAACCGTCCCAAGCTGCTGCCAAGTGCGCAATCTCTGACGCGCCGAAATAGAAGCCGCGATCGGCTCGAAGCGCGCCCGAAGCCCTGCGCACCACGCATCCCACGTGCTGTATTGGGCGGTCTTGTAGAATGAACTTCAGGTAACAGCTGGGCCCGTGGGCCCTTCCTCTTGCGACGGTGGCTCGTATGCGCGTGGCGACGTCACGATGACTCGCCACCAGTCCATGGTGGGGCCCCTTAATAGTGAAACGGCATACCGAATCTTCGTTGCGTCCGACTCGACGTAATTCGCGTCGAAGAAGACATTTATCGTGAAAACCCCCGATTGAACCGTCGGACCTCTACGTTGGCTTGGGTCGAAGCAGGGCGGGCGTTGCGGCTTGAGTGGCATGGGTGCCATAATGGCCTGTTCGCCACTTGTCGTCGCGAACTCCACGTGCCGACGGGCTTCACGAGGCTCCCGCGGGCTTGGTGCGACCTTGTTTCCTCCCATGCCAGGCATCGGCTGGGCGGCGCCGTCACTGGCTGCGCCTGAGCGTTGTCCCACGCTGTCGTGTTGCGTTGGTGTGCCGGACAAAATGACGATTGGCTCGTCCGATTGTGCAGATGCATTTGTCGGTGCGTGTGGTGGCGCTGGAATGTTCACCGTGGATTGCTAACGTGCGGAGTCACGTTCTGCCGTGAGCGTCGCAATTTCGAGCGCCGAATCTTCAAGTTGGCGCACCAGACGGTCAAGCTGCTCATGCGTCAATGTGGCGAGCGTGAATTCGGCCATGGCGGGGGTGTCGGGCGAGCTCAGCGAGAGCCTCGGTCGTGGCCGTGCGTGCTTACGAGAGAGCACTACGAGCGGCGGTGCTGTGTCGCTGAGGGACGTCTACCCCCCCAAAAAATTGAGATAGTGGGGAAGCGAAGGTTTGGGTGCGGACCGAGAGGAGATCGTAGGCTCTGAATACCAAGTGTTACGAGTGCAATTGAGTGAACGAACGAGAATTGCACTATCGAAGCAAGAGTACAATGAGCGAAGAATATATAGCGAAACTACAGTGGTAACGGTAATGGACTGTGGTTGTCGCGCGACGGGCCTGGGACTGAGGTTGGGAAAAGTGTTGAAGCGGAGGCCCGGAGCGCGGGTTACCCGCCGAGCCGTGAGGTCGGGGTGCGACGTGCGAAGGTGGCGGGCGGATTGTCGATGCGAGGATTGCGAGTGGTAACGGTGCTAACTGTGGTGCTATAGTGATGTACGCGTTGAGTAGGGATGCGAAGTAAGGAAAAGGAATTTTCCTTACAGTAGCACATCACAAAACAATTCAGTCATGAATTTCTAAGGACGCGGTAAAAGTGTTCGTTCGGGGGGAAATCGATCCGGTCACCGCACTGAAACCTCGTGTTTTGTATACAAAAGATACACAACCGTTTATAACCGTGCTAAAAAATGAATCTGAGGCGATCGATTCTCCACTTTTACCGCGTCCTAAGGAATAGAAGTGTATTCCCAGCTGCAAAGCGACACCCACGGTACACTTCCATCGGGTCGGGAAAAAATTCTCCTCGGAGACCACTGTAGGGGCTTGCTTCACTAGTGGCGCAAGCTCTGGTCTGAAATCGAACTTCTAGATTGCTGATCGAATATCGTTGCTATTTTGACCAACGGGAGCTTCGCTTCTTCATCCTTTATGTCACCGACTCATGGCAAGACAAATTATTTCTTCACAAAACACACAAATCTTCGCTACTACGGCACCCGACTTTGCAAAGGTGTCTGTACAGCGCCATATCTAGCTCCTTTAAATATTATCAGGCAACCTAAAGTACTATCCTGGATGAGCAACAGGAAGGATCGTACTGCCTCCTAATTCATTCAGGCGGTGCTTTAGCTGATTCCGCGGCGTGTTGTCAGATGCCGCACGCGTGCCATCAACAACTTAAACTTCCGCCGTAGGTCATCTGCATTGGCGTGCATAATCCAGCCTCCTTTCCTATTAAAGCACCTGTTTCGATACCGAACCTGCGTGCGTTCCGCAGCTAATCAACCCTCCGTGCTTTCTTTAGCCAAGGGAGCGCCTGTACACATACTCTCTCTTCCCGCCGCTGCGCGCTTGGCTCGGCACGGAAGCAATGCCGTTAGGGTTGGAGCTAGTGGGCCGCGCCGTCATGCGACGCGCGCGGCGAGGGCTGTTCGCCGGCAAGGAGGTGAAATTCGGCAACAAAGTCAGCGAGGACGGCGGGAACAAGTAAGTCGGAGACAAGTCAACTATTAAGACTCAGGAATCTCTCTAGAGTGTGTCAAGGGCTGTTCGCGGGCAAGGGGGTCAAGTTCGGCAACAGATTTTGCGAGGATCCCACCTAGTGTGTCAGGGAATATGTCAAAATCGACAGTACATGACCCAGTTGACTTTAGCTAGCGTTTTAGGGAATTCTAGAAAACCAACGGTTCTCCAAGAAAGCTAGCGAGGACGGAGGGAATGAGTAAGTCAACCGTTTAGGGGAATGAGTAAGTAAACCGTTTATTCTGCACACCAGGGAGAGGTTAAGGTTGGGAACGAAGGTATTCCGTCGCTGACAGGGACGGGTCGAGTTCGGGAACAAAAGCAGCGAACGGGGAGGCAACAAATGCATCAGTCAGTGTTATACTTGGCTGGCAGCACAGTACGTCCTTGGTCATTCCGTCTGAACCTGCATGAGTTTTTTGGAATTCTCAAAAATCGCATCGGGAACAAAGGCAACGAATGCGGAGGCAACAAATGCATCAGATGATGTTCTACTTGGCAGCACACCACGTCCTTGGTCGCTCCGTCTGCACCTGCTATATTCGTGCGACTTTTGAGAACCTTGGTCGCTCCGTCTGCACCTGCTATATTCGTGCGACTTTTGAGAACCTTGGTCGCTCCGTCTGCACCTGCCTTTGCTGACTTCCGCACTTCCTTCAACTATAAGACTTCACTGGGCAGGTTACTCTTGAGAATTCTCAAAAGTGACTTGTACTGCCCAGGGTACCGTGAGTTGTTTAGTGCCTGGTCGTGTACTGCCTGGTCGTGTACTGCCAGGTCGTGTACTGCCAGGTCGTGTACTGCCTGCCAGGTCGTGTACTGCCTGCCAGGTCGTGTACTGCCGGATTGTGTACTTCTGGTGTTCACATCCTTAGTAAAAGTCCAGTACTTTTAAGCTTTCTCTCAGGTCAAGTACTGCCGGATTGTGTACTTCTGGTGTTCTCATCCTAGTCCAGTACTTTTAAGCTTTCTCTCAGGTCAAGTACTGCCGGATTGTGTACTTCTGGTGTTCTCATCCTAGTCCAGTACTTTTAAGCTTTCTCTCAGGTCAAGTACTGCCGGATTGTGTACTTCTGGTGTTCTCATCCTAGTCCAGTACTTTTAAGCCTTCTCTCAGGTCAAGTACTGCCGGATTTGTTCCTCGTCTCCTCGCCCTCCCCTGCCTACTGATCCCCTCTTCCTATCTGGACCAGTGCACGGTCTCTTGTCTCACTTCTCCATGGTACCACTCCCATCATCCCTTTATCCCTGTAGCCGGCAGAACAAACGTCCTCACAGATTCACCTTGATACTGTCATCGAAATGCGTGCTGTGCTGTCACATTGTTTCCCACTCTCACCCTCCCGTCTCTCCCTTCCCTCGCTTCCCTCTCCCCCACGCCCTCCCAACCCAACCCCACTCTCCCAAACTATGGGCAGAACGCGGCGTATGTGGAAACCCAACGTGCAGTACAAGCGCCTCTACAGCTTCGCCCTCGACCGATCCCTTGCATTCGGTGCTGCCACATCATTCACCCTGACCTCTTTCCCCTCTTCCTGCCCCCACCACTCACCACCCCTCCCCTTTCAAACCGCACAGAACACGGCGCATGTGGAAGCCCAACGTGCAGTACAAGCGCCTCTACAGCTTCGCCCTGGACAGATTCATCCAGTACCGCGTTACCACGTACGCCCCCCGCTGCATAGTCAAGGTGGGCGGCATCGACGAGTATCTTCCGCTTACACTCCCCTCTTCCTTTTTTGTGTCCCGCCCCACCCCTCTTCTCCCCCCCGTTCCCGTCCACACCGCACAGAACACGGCGCATGTGGAAGCCAAACGTGCAGTACAAGCGCCTCTACAGCTTCGCCCTGGACAAATTCATCCAGTTCCGGGTTACCACGTATGCCCTTCGGTGCATAGACAAGGTGGGCGGCATCGACGAGTATCTTCTGCACACGCCGGAAAAGAAACTGAATTCTGATGTGGGGTTGGTATGGAAAGGAAGGATCCAGGAAGCTCTCCGTGCTCAATCTGCGGCTGTTGAAGCAGCACCAGCCACTGGTGGGACTTAGCTAAGTGTTGGAACAAAATTCTGGAACTCTAGACTGCAAAGAAATAATTAATAAACCATGAATGATTTGTTTCGTCTGCCAAGTTGCCAACTGCACTGTTGTGATTGCGGTGCGGTGGGATGGGATTAGCTCAGCTCTAAAAGTTGCTGGTACGGTAGCTACAGTCCCATTCAAGATGCCTAGTGTTTTGGAATATTTCCATTTTCCGACTAGAAAGTGTCTGTCGCCATTGCTTTTGGGGTGCCTCAGAATGTTTGTTACACAAAGTGTAGTGATTGCAGTGCAGTGGTCGTGGGCAGGCGGAGAGATATTAGAAAAGGGCTGCAGAGCAGTGCTTCTGCTGGCGGGCCAGCACCCCGTTGTGAAACTTGGCAAGGTGGTGGCGGTCGGCAGGGGAGAGAGTAGAGGGCAGCATTCAAGGGGTGCTAGCCTGGCCTGGGTCAGCAGTGCAGCGCAGCACTGCAGTGCTCCTGGCGGGCCAGCACCCTGTTGTGAAACTTCGCCAGGTGGTGGTGGTCGGCAGGGGAGAGGCGGAGAGGGGGCGTGGAGCGAGGTGCACGAAGGAGGGGAAAGAGGACAGCAGTAGAGTGCTTGCGGTTAGGGGGTGTACGGGGGAGAAGCAGGGGAGGAGGAGACGAGGGAGAGAGAGGGGGGGGGGGGGGGGGGGAGGGGGTGTTGTCAGCAGTGCAGAGCAGTGCTTGTGGCGGGCCAGCACCCCGTCATGGTACTTGGTGAGGGGAGGAGAAGAGGTGAGCGAAAGGGGAGAGGAGAAGGTCGGCAAGGGAGGGGAGGAGAGGCGGTGCTGAGCGAAAGGCAGGAGGGAGGAGAAGAGAACAGCCGAGCAGTGCTTGTGGTAAGAGGGAAGGGATGAGGGTGGAGGAAGAGGGGGGGCGGGGTCAGCAGTGCAGTGCAGCAGAGCAGTGTTTCTGGCGAGCCAGCACCCCGTCATGGTACTTGCCAAGTACTACTTGGTGAGGCGGTGGCGGTCGGCAGGGGAGAGGAGGGGAGGGGAGATGGGGAGGTGCGGGGCGAGGAGCAGGAGAAGAATACAGCAGTCTAGTGCAGTGCTTGTAGTAAGGAATGCTAGGCTGCTAGCCTATTAGCAATCATTGTTTTGAGACGTCTCAAAACACTTCTTCAATCACGTGGAGGAGAATACAATACAGCAGTGTAGTGCAGTGCTTGTAGTTAGAAATGCTAGGGTGCTAGCCTATTTAGCAATCAGCAGTGCAGCGCAGCAGAGCAGTGTGTCTGACGGGCCAACACCCCATCATGGTACTTGGTGAGGCGGTGGCGGTCGGCAGGGGAAAGGCGGAGGGGCGGGGAGATGGGGAGGCGAGGGGCGAGGTGCAGGAGGAAGGCGAAGAGCGTGGCTGAGCGAGCATAGGCTGCTGCTGCCGACGCCATGTTTCCCATCAGCTCCTCAACCTGCGAGAAGGAGACGGGAGAGAGGGAGGATCAAAATGAGGGAACGAGAGTAGTGAAGTTCAATGTGGGGTGGTGAGGTGCAAGGTGTAGGAGGAAGGCGAAGAGCGTGGCTGAGCGCGCATAGGCTGCTGCTGCCGACGCCATGTTTCCCATCAGCTCCTCCACCTGCGAGAGGGAGACGGGAGAGAGGGAGGATCAAAATGAGGGAACGAGAGTAGTGAAGTTCAATGTGGGGTGGTGAGGTGCGAGGTGTAGGAGGAAGGCGAAGAGCGTGGCTGAGCGCGCATAGGCTGCTGCTGCCGACGCCATGTTTCCCATCAGCTCCTCCACCTGCGAGAGGGAGACGGGAGAGAGGGAGGATCAAAATGAGGGAACGAGAGTAGTGAAGTTCAATGTGGGGTGGTGAGGTGCGAGGTGTAGGAGGAAGGCGAAGAGCGTGGCTGAGCGCGCATAGGCTGCTGCTGCCGACGCCATGTTTCCCATCAGCTCCTCCACCTGCGAGAGGGAGACGGGAGAGAGGGAGGATCAAAATGAGGGAACGAGAGTAGTGAAGTTCAATGTGGGGTGGTGAGGTGCGAGGTGCAGGAGGAAGGCGAAGAGCGTGGCTGAGCGCGCATAGGCTGCTGCTGCTGACGCCATGTTTCCCATCAACTCCTCCACCTGAGAGGGAGAGGTGAAAATACAGAGGAAGAACAGGGGAAGAGAGCTTTGAGTCGACTCAGAACACACATAGGCTGCTGCTGCTGATGCCATGTTTCCCATCAACTCCTCCACCTGAGAGGGGAAAGGTGAGAATGAGAGCGGGGAGAGGAAAACAACACAGTGGAATGAAGAGCGTGGCTGAACGCGCATAAGCTGTTGCTGCTGATGCCATGTTTCCCATCAACTCCTCCACCTGAGAAGAGCGATGGAAAGGAAGCAGCAAAAAATGAAGCAGGGGGGGTTGTATATGCGCTGCTGGCATGCTGCGGATGCTGTGTAGCCCAATACGAAACGAGAAAACAGAAGAGACATAGAGGCAGGAAAAAGACACATTGGGGACAGTCAGGGAAGTGGGAAGGGGAACTCACAGCAGCAGAGCGACCAGCGATGAGGGCAGTCTGATAGACCATCTCCAGAGCATCAGGCACGGGTGATGGGTCTGTGATGGTGGGAGGAGAGGAGGAGGGGAGGCGGCAGACAGGTGCACTGAGATGCTGCTTAGGCTCTGTTTAGCAGAGCGACCAGCGATGAGGGCAGTCTGATAGACCATCTCCAGAGCATCGGGCACAGGTGATGGGTCTGTGATGGTGGGGGGAAGGTTGAGAGGGGGGAAACAGATATGTCTCACTGAGGTGCTGTTTAGCCTCTGTGTAGCAGAGCTATCCGTCTCTGCCGTTTCAACAGCTGCCAGGAGGTCTGCTTTCACCAAGTCACATGGCATTGCTGCCGCTGCCTCCCTCTCTTCTTACCTACACCACAAACACATCACCAATCCCATCCATCCACCTGTACCGTACTCACCATCCCTGTCAACAGCAGCAGCAACCGCCTCTGCTGTCTCCACAGCTGCAACAAACTCTGCTTCTACCAAGTCGCATGCCATCGCTGCTCTGCTTACCTATGCAGTACAGTAGTATGTATGGATGGGATTGGTAGAAGCAGAGGCGGTATGGGGAAGCAGAGGCGGTATGGGGAAGCAGAGGCGGTATGGGGAGAGACCGTGGGAAATAATGACATTCTACTTACCTATGCAGTGCAGTAGTATGGGGAGAGACAGTGCAGTAGTATGGGGAGAGACAGTGCAGTAGAAAGTCATTATTTCCCACGGTCTCTCCCCATACCGCACTCACCGTCCCTGTCAACAACAGCGGCAACCATCTCTGCTGTTTCAACAGCTGCCAGGAACTCTGCTTCCACCAAATCACACACCATCGCTGCTGCTGCTTCCTCTTCTTACCTATACGGTATACCACACCTCATCAATCCCATCCACCCATCCGTACCGCACTCACCATCCCTGTCAACAGCAGCAGCAACAATTTCTGCTGTCTCAACAGCTGCAAGGAACTCTGCTTCCACCAAGTCACACGCCACCGCTGCTGCTGCCCACTTACCTATACTGTATGACATGACCTTCTTTCCCACTTCTTTCCTTATGTCGCACTCACCGTCCCTGTCAACAGCAGCAGCAACGGTCTCTGCTGTTTCAACAGCCGCCAGGAACTCTGCTTCCACCAAGTCACACGCCATTGCTGCTGCTGCCTCCTCCCCGCTCCCATGAGCGCCCATGCTGCCCCCATGGGCGCCAATGCTGCCCCCATGGGCGCCAATGCTGCCCCCATGTCCCCCCATGCTGCCCCCATGTCCCCCCATGCTGCCTCCATGCCCCCCCACGCTGCTGCTCCTGCGCAACGGGATCATTCCACCAGAACCACTAGAAGCACCCCCGTTATAAGCATCACCACTATGAGCACCACCGTTATAGGTATCAATGGTGGCATTGGTGGTGCTAGTGGCACTGGTGGCAGCCCATTCGTGGGAGAGCGTGAGAGCCTCTTTCCACACCGCGAGAGCGACCAGGTGGAGGGAGAGCGAGCCGAGCGGTGCTGCTGCTTCCAGCTGAAGAGGGGGAACGATGGGAGGTGGGAGGAGAGGCACAGGCATGGGAGAGCGTGAGAGCCTCTTTCCCCACCCCACCGCGAGTGCAACGAGGTGGACGGAGAGCGAGGCGAGCGGTGCTGCTGCTTCCAGCTGAAGAGGGGGAACGATGGAAACACAAGATAAAACACAGCAAGGCAACAAGGGGAAAGGGGAAATATCAGAACAGGAGAGGCGCACTGGTGGGAGAGTGTGAGGGCCTCTTTCCACACTGCAAGAGCAACAAGGTGGAGAGTGGTGCTGCTGCTTCTTGAGAATTCTAAAAAATCACTCGCAAGGAGAGTGGTGCTGCTGCTTCCAGCTGACACGGGGAAAAATGGGAAGACAATCAGAGTAGAAGGGAGTTATCAAAAGGAGGAGCGCGTGGTAGAGACGGGTGCGAAACTCTTTCCACACCGCGAGAGCAACAAGAGCGGGGAGAGCGGCACTGCTGGTACTTGTTTCCAACTGATATGCGAAGAGGTAAGTAAACGGGGAAAACAAAAAAAAGAAAAGAAAAGAAAAGAAAGAAAGAAAGAAAGAAAAAAACCATTGTACAGAAAAGTTTTATTTCTTACATAGAGCCATGATTCGAACGTCGCAATTGTGGCAACAACACGGGGAAAGGCTGAGAGCTTTCAGGTTCTAGAAACTCACTGCACTCCACTCGCGTTACAAGCAAAGAGAGAACTCTGCAATGCAGTGCGTCGGACTGCCAATGTAACGAACAGGGTGACCACTGGGTGGATCCAAAAGTCAGTGCACTAACTTTACTAGCACCACTCACTCACCTTGCTAGCAGCAATTTCTGCAATGTAACGCCCGCTTTGTCTGAGGAAGGCAATCCGCTCCTGAGGATGCTGCTGAAACACCTGCTGCTCCTGCTGTTGAATCTGCATCTGCTGCTGTGTCTGTCCTTTCTGCTGTTCATTCTGCATCAGTCCGCCTCTGTCCGGCTCCCCTCCAGCAGGCAAACCTGCTGCACTCAATGATGATGCAGCACTCACACTCACACCCACACCTGCACCCACATCGCTGCCGAGGCTACCAGGAGCAGGTCTGGCCAGAGAACCTGTGCGGGGCGTGCCGAGGCTAACAGCCAGAGCCAAGCCGGAACGAGCGTGGGATGGTGCTGGTGCAGTCGGGGGGGGTAAACTGGGAGATGGTGCGGTGGTGGGGGATGGTGCAGAGGCGGATGGTGCGGCGGCTGCTGAAGAGTTGTTAGTGGTAACGGTAGTGTTTGAAAACGGTGGGGTGGAAGACAGCAGGGTGGAAAACGGTGGAGCAGTGGTTCCAGTAACTGGTGGTGTGTCTGCTGCCTTGGTGTACCCTCCTGTACAGACCTTGGGACAGAAACCACTCACTTGCACTAGAGGCGCAGGTGCTGCTGATACTACCACTTGTGACTGTACAGATGGTGTCTGTAACGAATGTGGCTGTACAGGTTGTGACTGTAACGAATGTGACTGTACATGGTGTGACTCTACTGAGAGTGACTGTACACGTGCAGGATTATTTACAGGAGCTGCAGACGTAGGGAGGAGGTGGTTAGGAGGCAGGGGGAAAAACGGTGGGGATTCTACGGGTGGAATTAACGGGCTGCCGGCAACAGCACCAGAGGCTGTAGCAACGGCTGTAGCAGCAGCAGCACCTGTACCAGATGTAGCAGCTGCAGCAGCAGGAGTTGTAACAGCATAAGCAGTAGCACCAGCTGTGGGAACCCGGGCTGAAGCAATCGGGTGGGCCGAGGAACCAGCTGTAGCAGCAGCAGCAGCAGCTGCAGCCCCCACTGCCCCTACAACAGCTGACAGTGCAGCTGCTGCAGCAGCAGGGAATGCCGAGGCAGAGCCTGCTGCCTTCACTTGTTGATGTTGGCTCGACTGGCTGAGAGATGGGTTGGCAGAGGCTGATTGATCGGCGGACAGAGAGGGTTCGGATGGGTGGTCCACGACGACGTAGTCCCCTTCAAGCATCTCGAACGAGTCCGTGCCTCCTGGGAGTAAGGGTGAGAGGCAAGTGCAGAGGACAAAACACATATGGCGTCGTCGTTTCACTTCAAGTGATGCTCGAAGTAAAAGTGGCAAGTCCGGAGGAGAAGGGATGGTACCATTCACGACTTGCCGGAGGAGAAGGGATGGTACCATTCACGACTTGCCGGAGGAGAAGGGATGGCACCATTCACGACTTGCCAGAGGAGAAAGGGATGGTCAGAGAGGGTCTCACGTCCCGTTCAGTTAAGGGACAGAGAGGGTTCAGATGGATGGTATGGTCCACAACCACGTAGTCTCCTTGGAGCATCTCCAACATCCACGAGATGTAGACATGGGCAAAGAGTCGAGTTTCCAAGCTCGACTCGATCGGGGGACTCGTTACTGGTCGAGTGTCGAGTGCAAAGACCCGTTGAAAAAACTCGACCAGACCGAGTCGAGTTTTACCTGCTGAGTTTTTAAAAAACTCGGTCCAAGCTCGGGCCCCATGTCGAGTTTTTTCCAGACACGTCGAGTTTTCTGGACTCGGCGAGTTTACGAAAAACTCGTCGCGACATTGGGGTGGGGTGGGCATACAAATTTCGAAAGTCGAAGTTTTGCGGGTCCATTTTCAGATCTCGATTTCAGTCAGTCACCTTCCTCGACATGTCGTCCGTAGTTTCCAGAGCCAAACCAGTCAAACGCCCGGCTGTTTTTTCTTCTTAAACTTAAGATCGGTTCAGGGGCAACGTAGATCTAGGTTTACGCTTAGTTAGGGTCGCGGTTTTATTGTATGGTTGGTTTCGATTAGGGTTTGGGGAGGAGGAAACGCTACTATTTAATAATGTAACGGTCAATCTACTGATTTAGCATGGCGAAATTCAAGCAGCTGACAAGTAAGAACACCAACGGCGGGAAAGCGGGGGCGGGAGGAACCCACCGTGGCGATCATGCGGGAGGAGGGGGGGGGAAGACCAGGTGGAGACGGCTACACAGCGTCGCAGGCGTACAATAATATAGGGTATACAACAAAAAACCATGCACGAAAATAAGCCTCAGGTCTCACTTTTCTTTTCTATGGTGTGTCCCCCCCCCCCTCCCCCCCGCCGAGCCGAGTTTAACTAGGACTCGACCAAGCGTATGAATAGCGCCGGTCGAGTTTTAAAAAACTCGCCCTTATACAGTCGAGTCTCGAGTCCTGAACCTTGGCAAAAAAACTCGTCCGGGTTTCACCCGACTCGAGCTCGAACTCGGTCGAGTTTTGGCCCAGACCGAGTCGAGTTTTACTCGACTGTCCGTAGCCCATGTCTAACGAGATGTATCAACCAAGATGGATGCTCCTGGGAAACTGCGTTCTGGATGCTCGAAGGAAAAGAGGCAAGTGCGGAGGAGAAATAAAAGTAATGGTACATAGCTGGGGAGGAGAAGAAATGGTACATCCGGCATCGCGTCCCGTTCACTGAAGGGGCAGAGAGGCTCACACCTTAAAAAGGAAGGGAAATAGCGCATCAAAGGACACTGCTGCACGCTGCATGCATCAAGGGGCATTGCTGCATGCACCTCTTTCATCTCCTGCTGGGGCCAACGATGCAGGCACCAACGGTGGTGCTGGCGACGGTGCCACTGCTACTGACAGTGGTACCATTGCTGCCAGCAATAATTTGAAACATCTCAAAATTCACTGCCACACGCACCTCTTTCATCCCCTGCAGGGAGCAGCGGTGCAGGCACCAACGGTGGTGCTGGGGACGGCGCCACTGCCACTGAGAGCGGTACCGTTGCTGCCAGCGATGGTCCGGCCAGTGTGGCTTGCACAGTTGTCTCTGCTGCTGGGGGTAGTACAGCCTCTGCTGCTGCTCCTGCTCCTGCTCCTGCTCCTGCTCCTGCTCCTGCTCCTGCTGCTGCTGCTGCCTCTACTCCCCTCTCTGGTTTCGACACAAGGGCTGAGTGATTCTGACGCTGCTGCTGCTGTCCCTGTTGTTGCTGGAACTTGGCATGCTGGCTGGACAGAGGACGAACCTCATATGCAGTGACAGCACGAGCAGGCAAAAGAGCGGGTCGGGCAGGAGAAGAGACAACGGCAGGTGGTGGGAAAGCAGGGACCCAAATTGGTGCCGCACTCTGTGCTGCTTCTGCTGGTGATGCTTCTCCTGCTGCTGTTGCTGCTTCTGCCGCTGCTGCTGCTGCTGTTGGTAGTGTTGGTCCCCCTGCTGCCACTGCTGCAGCTGCTGAACTTGCTGCTGCTGCAGTTGCTGCTGCTGCTTCTGCTGCAGGTGCAGCAATGAAACCATCCCTTCCTCCTCTCTCTTCCCCTCTGCCTATCTCACCCTCTCCCTCTCCCCCTGCCCTGCCCTCACTCCCTTCCCCTCTCCCACTCCCTCTGCCGCCTCCTCCTCGCCCACTCCCTCCTCCGCCTCCTCCGCTGCCACCACCTACAGCAACCACACCCCAGGGATCACTATCCTCCTTATAAGAATCCCCCCTAACAGCACCAGACATGTCACTATTTACAGTGGCAGCTGAAACAGGGTTAGAATCAGCAGGAAACGAGGGCCCAGGGGGAAGGTGTGGGGAAGCGGAGCGATATGGGGGCGAAGGCGGGGCGGACAGAGGGGTAGCGCAGGGGGCAGGCAGGGCAGGGGGGTTAAGGGGAGGGGGAAACGGGGGAACAGGGGCAGGGGTAGTAAGGGAGGGGGGAGGCAGGGGGGTATGAGGTAGGGGAGTAAAGGAGGGGGAGGTTGGAGGAGCAGGCGCAACCCCCCCTGCACCAGGAGAAGCAGCAGGAGCCGAAGGGGTGGTGGCAGGGGTTGTAGGGGCAGAAACAGCTGCGGGAGGCCTGGAACTCTGTGGTGGAGCCGGAGGTTCGGGGGAGGATGATGGAGGTTCGGCAGGGAACGGTGGAGGCTCGGTACGAAGTGGCGGAGGTTCGGTACGGAGTGGCGGTGGTTCGGTCTGAGCAGCTGGGTTGGTGAAGGAGGCTGGTGGTTGCCAGATAGACTGAGGGGAACTGATGTGTGAGCATGCAGGGAAGGGAGGGAGGGAGAGAGGGGGGGGGGGGGGCTTTTGAGGCGCCTCAGACGGTAGCTGGGTTGGTGAAGGAGGCTGGTGGTTGCCAGATAGACTTAGGAGAACTGATGTGTGAGCATGCAGCGAGAGGGGGGGGGGGAGGCGGAGGAGGGGAGGGAGGAAAAGGGGGAGGGAAGGATTTACAAGGGGGACGAGAAGGATGGGGAGAGAGGAAAAGGCGGAGGAGGGGAGAGGGGAAAAGGCGGAGGAGGGGAGAGAGGATTGCTAAGATAAGAAAATGCGACCATCGAGACGCCTTAATAGGATTGCTAGGAATACTCGACCTGGCGCAGCAGCAGCACGTGGGTGGGACAAGTCCTCATATAGCTCAAGAAAAACCAAACAACCTCCCTCTCCCCCCCCATCCCCCCATTCCCCCCCTTCTCCTCATTCCCTCCTTTCCCCCCATTACCCCCCTTCCCCCATGCGTACCTTGCTAAGCCAAGGAAAGGATGATTGAAGAACTGTTCAAATGACAGCCGCTCCACTGTGCGGCAAAGAGTAACAGGGGGAAGGACGAGATTTCACAGTACCAAGAGAGATTAAAAAAAATATATATATATATATATATATATATATATATATATATATATATCTACAAAAACGGAAACTCTTACAACGCAGGGACTTTCACACACAGAAAAACGGACTATTTCTGGCAGCGAAGGCATTTCAGGCGCTTCGGTTATTATCATGTTTGAATTCACCCGGGTTCCCGTTTGAGCAGAGAGCGGATTAGCCTGAAACAGTCATTGGAGAGAATTACAGCAATGCCACGTGACAGGGTACCATCCGGGTGGGGAACCGTGACAGGGTACCATCCGGGTCGGGTGCCACGTGACAGGGTACCATCCGGGTCGGGTGCCACGTGACAGGGTACCCTCGCCACGTGACAGGGTACCCTCGCCACGTGACAGGGTACCCTCGCCACGTGACAGGGTACCCTCGCCACGTGACAGGGTACCCTCGCCACGTGACAGGGTACCCTCGCCACGTGACAGGGTACCCTCGTCACGTGACAGGGTACCCTCGCCACGTGACAGGGTACCCTCGCCACGTGACAGGGTACCCTCGCCACGTGACAGGGTACCCTCGCCACGTGACAGGGTACCCTCGCCACGTGACAGGGTACCCTCGCCACGTGACAGGGTACCCTCGCCACGTGACAGGGTACCCTCGCCACGTGACACGGTACCCTCGCCACGTGACACGGTACCCTCGCCACGTGACACGGTACCCTCGCCACGTGACACGGTACCCTCGCCACGTGACACGGTGCCCTCGCCACGTGACACGGTGCCCTCGCCACGTGACACGGTACCCTCGCCTCACCCATGACTCTTGCCTGCAATCTACGTGCAGCATGACGTGGTTGAAGGATGTTTTGAGAATTCTGAAAAACACCCTGCAGCGCCTCACCTGTGACTCTTGCCTGCAATCTACTTGCAATGCAACACGATGTGGTTGAAGTTGAAAAACCAAAGTGAATCACTCACCGGGGTTCCGCTTGAGCAGAGAGCGGATGAGCCCGAGACAGTCGTCCGAAAGAGTTGCAGCAATGTCGCGCGGTACACGTGCCTCGCTTCTCTTGATGTTTTGCAGCAGCTGTGGTGGATGAAAGGCAGGCAGGCAGGCAGGGGTGCAAGGGGGGGAGGGGAGGAGTATGCGCGCGCAAGTGAATGTTGTTATGATTGTGCATTGTCACGCGGAACCCTTTCCTCGCTCCTCTTGATGTTTTTAAGCAGCTGTGGTGGTGACAGGCAGGCAGGGGCGGAAGTGAGGGAGGGAGAGTGCTGACTCACAAGCCACATTCGATAAGTAAGAGGACCAGCGAGAACAACACACGTGCAGGAAAAGTTCACACACACACACACAAACACACGCGCGCGCGCACATACACACACACACATAGGGGAAGAAGTACTCGTGATACTCACATGCACGTGATTCTGACCGCCAAAAGGTGGTCGCCCCACAACAAGCTCAAAGAGAATGGCGCCCACACTCCACAAGTCCGCCTGGTAACAGTGAGGGCGAGAGGGAGGGACAGTGAGGGCGAGAGGGAGGGACAGTGAGATAGAGAAAAGGCTTCTGATTGAGTCGAGTCCAAATGGTGGTCGCCCCACGACAAGCTCAAAGAGAATGGCGCCCACACTACACAAGTCCGCCTGGTGGAGAGGGAGGAGATGGTGAGTGAGGTGGGAGGGAGAAGGACGGGGAGGTAGAGAGAAGGATTCTCAAATGAACGTGGTTCCGACCGCCAAAGGGGGCCGCCCCACGACGAGCTCAAAGAGAATGGCGCCCACACTCCACAAGTCCGCCTGGTGGAGAGGGAGGAGACGGAGCAGTGAGGGCGAAAGAGCGACCGTGAGAGGGGGGGTGGGGAGAAGGGCGTTGCGAATGGAAGGGATGTCAGAACCCAGGAAACGAAGGATGCAACGGGGAGTGATGGAGGGTAGAAGAAGGAGGAAAGGGGCTGAGAGATGGAAGAAAACGTGTGACCACATACCAACCATTACCGTTCACTTTTCGCCTTCACATACACACCTTGGCGTCGTATCGCTGGCACTGCAGGATCTCTGGCGCCATGTACAGGGGAGATCCACACAGCGTCTCCGCCAGGCCCTGTGGCTGCAGCGACCTGTTGTGGTGTGGTGCAAGGAGGAGACAGAGAGAGGGGGGAGGAAGGGTGCGGAGCAGAGGAGAGAACTGCCGCTTATGGTGCCAGCCAGCCATGTACAGGGGGGATTTTTGAGGCGCCTCAAAGAAAAAAAAAAAATTTTGAGGCGCCTCAAAAAAAAAAAAAAAAAAAAAAAAAATTGAGGCGCCTCAAAAAGCGGAGCAGAGAGAACTGCCGCTTATGGTGCGAGCCAGCCATGTACAGGGGGGAAGCACACCACACAGCGTCTTCGCCAGGCCCTGTGGCTGCAGCGACCTGCCATAGGAAAAGTGAGAGGCGTCAAGATTGCTCTCTGCTATGCAAACGGTGGCAGTTGGTGGATGGAACGGTTTGGAAGGGTGGGTGCCTGCCTGCCTGGTGAGAGATGTGATCAACATATGCTCTTGCGTGAATGGAGAACTGACCTGGCGAATCCGAAGTCTGCAATCTTGAGCACTGCAGCAGAGGTGCGCTCAGATAGCAGGAGGTTCTGAGAACAAGCGAGGCAGGGCGTAGTGTATGTATCACATGGGCAGAGACGGCAGAAACAGAAACCTGAGACTTTTGTTGGACTTTGACGATGCAGTTGTAATAAAATACTGTATAGATGGAATGGAGGAAAAAGAGGTTGTTTGCTCGCAGCACCTGCAGTCCCGCTCCCAGCTGCCGCAGGAAGTGCCTTGCTGCCGCCTCTTTCACCGCCTCCAACCCATCTCACAAATCAGTCAACCACACCGTACACCATACCGACCTGGGGCTTCAAATCCCGGTGAATAAGGTTGTTGGCTCGCAGCACCTGCAGTCCCGCTCCCAGCTGCCGCATGAAGTGCCGGGCTGCCGCCTCTTTCACCGCCCCGCCCCGCCTGATGTGGTGCGAGAGGTCACCACCCGCGCAGTACTCCAGGACAAGGAACATACGCGACGAGGTCTGGAGTGGGGGGAGAGGAATAGACATAATTGCGGACAGGCAGGACACGGAAAATAACAAAATGCAAAGCAGAAAGGATGTGGGAAAGCAGAAGAATAACATCTAACAAAACACGGGAATAATTGCACAGTGCAATTCACTTCACTTCGCCTCCTAACGCTATACAGCTTATTTGACGCACTTAAAAAGTGCATCTTCAACAGAAATGACCCTTACCACACATTTTCAAATGCCTGAACAGTGCAACAGAGCTTCACAATGCCCGGCTCAGAAGCCACGCCCGTCTAATCTATTATAGGTGTCGTAAGTCGACTCATAAGCAAGCAATTGAGGCGCTACTGATATCATCTTGAGGTGCCTCGCGCGAATAAACATTCCCAGAGTACAGCTGAGGGCCTTTGAAAACTTTTAGGATAGCATAGCATATACTCAGCGGACAGCACTAAGCTATCCACCTCAATACCATACGCCAAAAACGACGTTGGGTGGCTAGCGCAACATAGAACCGCTAGAAGAGATATAACATGTGCTAAGCATGCACGGACGGTCATACGCACCTTAGCTATGTCCAACAGGTGGTTTATGTTGGGATGCCTCGCGCCGGGAAACATAAGGTGCTACGCATATTTGGAACGCCCAACGCACCTTAACTATGTCCAATAGATGAACGATATTGGGATGCCTTGCGCGTTTCAGAATCGCAATCTCCGACTCGAGACTCTCGTGCAGCTTGGCACTTAATTTCTCCGTCGGAATTTCCTTAATCGCCACCGCGTCGCCCGTCGACCGCCTCCTACCCCTCCACACCACGGAAAACGACCCCGAACCTATCTGCTTCTCCAGAACATAATCATCCCCCACGGGACGACCGCCTAAGCTTCCGCCTCCGCTTCCATCTCCGCCTCCGCCTCCGCCTCCCCCTAAGCCTCCCGCTCCACCGTCTCCGCCGTTTCCGCCAGCCTGAGCTGCCATTCCGCCTACTGCTGCTTCTCCGACGGTCCTCCCGGGAGTCGGAGGTGAAATAGGAGGTGTGAAATGAGGTTGGTGACCTGCCATGAAATTTTACATGCCAGAGACTGGATAATTACCGAAAGATCAGGTAGCGAAACAGCTTATGACACGAAACGTTCCCAGAATCTGGTGCTGAAGATGTCGCTAGCTGCTAGTGACACTAGATATGAGGGTCGGAGCTTAGCGCGGCAGTGAGAATAGTGGTATGGCGGTCTATTGTGTGACAATAACGGAGGAACAAGAGAGCAGAGGTGAGGAACATGGGGGAGGGTGTTACGCAAACGAAGTGCCAGCTGTGATAATTCTGAGGACGGTGCATTAGGACATATGAATTGCTGGAAAAACCGAAGTGTATCTCGACATTAATGAGCAACTCACATACTGAACTCGAAGCGGTCTGTAGCATCTTCATTCGGAGCATCAAAGTGACAGAGGGAATTTAATTGGTCAGTCTGTTCTTTGTCAGCCAATAGCGTGCATGAAATCCTCAGAGCCTGATGGGATGGGTCACTTTCCACTTCACAATGACATCACCAAGCAGATATCGTTCATCCTTCCCTCCAATGGAATACACGCGGACAAATCATGAAGTGTCCACCACCCTTCTGACCGTATCTAAGGGGGGGTCCAGCTCGTACATTTACTGTTCGTAAACCCCCTCAGTTACCACATTTTTTGTGGTAACCCTTTATTGAACGTGTCCAGCGGACACAATCAGCTTCTGTTCGCAAGACGGCACGCCCCATGCACGTACCTAGAGTCATCTGACTCACGTTACTGGAATCAGCAGGGAAGCGAGCAAGGGTACAGTACCGCGTCCTGGCCACTACAGTTCGTTTCCCTTGTATCGCTTGCACGATTTCGTAAGTGGTTCGCTCTACTCGCCAGCGCCCCCTGCGCCTGCACAAAAATTTTCAAGCTATGATTGACGAGGGAAACTGTTACCTCGTTTCAACGTTGTCAGAGCACTGTTGATTCGTGTGGCGGGGGATGTGTCCGCGCTTCTGAAATTACAGGATGGTTGGACTCCACTCACAATGCATTCGTTTCTAGGTACGGTAGTCATTTTTGAACCTCGATACGTGCGTTGGCACGAAAAATCCCGAAATGAACGAACTGGACACGCCCTGAACAGACGAATCAATTGCAACGGATAATGTGTCATGAAAATGTCACCTGACATTTTTCGCCTGACGGAAACACCCACATCGCTGCGTTGGAAAATCCTCCTGGGAACTCCTCCTCACCACAAATTCCCTTGAGAACGTTTTCAGTCACTCGCAAACTACCAACAATCAACAAAACCGTGGGAATCTCGGAATCAGCCTGTTCGAACGTAGGTCGTTTCACAAGCCTTATGATTTCCTGCGTTCCCGAAACGTAAGCTCGAACATCCTCTGCTGAGGTCGTTTTGTGTCCAGATCTCAAGGCTGCACCGTTTTTTCTCGTCGCGCAGGCTAATAAACTTCTCTAATTCCCAAGCTCGCGAAAGGATAGCTAATCCTGCTTGTCTATCTCTCTCGGGTTCATGGCGAATCAGAAGCAGCGTAGCTCTCTCTATTCAGCTGGTCACAGCGATGGTAAAGGCACTTTGCACAGCACTGCTGCCACCGGTACGAACACAAGCAATCGCCAAGGTACTATTCGACGGCCTTCAGCCATCGTGATTGGTAGCGGGTTCTCCGGCCTGGCAGCAGCTCACGCGCTGCATCACGCATCGTTTGAGGTGCGATGTTTTCGTCCGGGATTGTTCCAGGATGTATCTTCGAGCCGGTCGTGCAATTTGATTACACCGAGTATCTACACAGTTCACATCCCAGGGAACTTGGTTCTGCAACTTGATCGTTTCATGCATGCAAAGGGTTCATCTTCCTCCAAAGCTCCTGAGAACATCATGGAACTCATCATGACGGTTTTTCTGCAGTCTAATGGTTGTTCTGCAGCTTGACGCCTGACCTGCAACATCGTCAAAGTCACGATGCATTTGAACTATCAGGCTCTTTCATCCTCTTTCTCTTATTGTTCCATCCCTCCCTCCGGAACGTCTAACTCACTGGCTCCATAAATTTCTCTGCTGACACCACGAATGGTGGTGACAGAGGCAAGGTTGAGACGTTTTGTCATTGCTAACAACGTGAAATCTCCTCTGGCCTGCGTTGCTCCCCATCTACGGTAGGTGGTGGTGCTAGAGGCAAGGAATCGCATCGGAGGTCGCGCCTTCACAGACTACTCTTTTGGCTTTCCGCTTGATCTAGGTGCTGCCTGGTAAGCGATTGTTCCCAACAGTGGTCTGTGAGTTCGTTACCAACACCCAGCTGGTCCCTTATTCATTCCTTCGTTGCGATTACCGTAACATTCATCAGTAAAGCTTTCCGACCACTGTTTCTCCAACCTGCTTACCCCCCCCCCCCATCTCACCTTCCTCTCAGATCTACTCCTCCCCCGGCTTATCTGTCCCTCTAATGTACCTGTTTTCTCTCCCTTCTGCAGGCTGCACGGTGTTTCTGAGAGTAATCCGCTGGCTCGGCTGATCGCGGACCTCCAGCTTCCGCTTTACCGAACCAGTGGAGACGACTCGGTTCTCTATGATCACGACCTTGAGAGGTGGGTACTGGGAAAGCGCGGTGGTGGCGGTGGGTAGGATTGTGGTGTTGTGTTTCCAGCTTCCGCTTCACTGAGCCAGCGGGGATGAGTCTGAGCTCTATGATGGTCATGACCTTGAGAGGTGGGTAGGTGGCATGGTGCTGTGTGGTGCCGTGTGGACCTACGTGGTGGTGTCGAGTGCTGTACGGTGCTATATGGTGCTGTGTGGTGTTGTCTGGTTTTGTGTGTTGCTTAGTTCTAAGTTCGTTTTCCCTTCATTTCTCTGTTTCCAATACGCCTTCTTGAATCCCAAGGTGCAACTTCCCCTTCAACCCTCAACAGCATGCGTTGCTTTGATCAAATGGACCCCCTCCCTTAGAAACTTCTCGAAACGCAATCTGCAGATGGTGCTATCTCAACACCCCCCCTGTGTCCGTTTCAGCTATGCGCTGTACGATGAGGATGGGGTGAAGATTCCCCAGGACGTGGTGGAACGCGTAGAGAGGGTGTTCGAAGAGATGCTGGAAGAGGTACGCCGTGAGGGTCATCTGAAAAAAACATGTGCTTTTAGTGAGTTGCTTATAAACGTCAACACCATGAGGACGTGGTGGAGCAGGTGTTCGAATAGATGCTGGAAGAGGTATGTCGTGAGGGTTCTCTGGGAAATCTATGTGCTTCCAGTCAAACTTCTAAACTTCTACCCCATAAGGAGGTGACGTATTGGAGCGTGTGGAGCAGGTGTTCATAGCGATATGCTGGAAGTGTTGTCGCTGGAAGGGGTACGTCGTCAGTGTCCTCTGAATGCTGTCCATCCTTCGTTTCAGTATCCAGCTGAGTCTTCTCGCACGAGGAAATTTATGCCATGTTTCTAAGGTCGTGTACTGTAGGGTCCCCTGCATAGTGTCCTGTCCATCCATCATTTCAATATCCCGACTGAGTCTCCTTGAACGAGAATATGCCAAGAACACGGAGCATGCCTTGGCATCAGTGGAGCTGTTCTCAGGGAACATCATGTAGTCCTTCTTTCTCTCCATCATCTCATCTCCACACCACCAGACCTGGCAGCTGTGCACTGACACAAGCAAGGACATACGTGGAGCATGCCTTGGCTCTGGTGGAGCAGCGGGGGCCGGAGCTGAGACTACAGGCAGAGGGGAGGAGCGGGCAGGTGATCAACTGGTATCTCTTACCCCTTCCTTTCAAAACAATTATCCCCACGCCACCAGACGCGTCAAATATGCGCCAGCACATGCGAGGACATGAACATGGAGCATGCCTTGGCTCTGGTGGAGCAGTGCAGGCCGGACCTGACACTACAGGGTGTGGAGCGGCGGGTGCTGCAGTAGTAGCTCAGTCCTCTTTCTCTCTGTAATATCATCGCATCGACCAAACAACAGACTCGCCAAATTTGCAAGAACACGAGCGAGGACATGAACATGGAGCATGCCTTGGCTCTGGTGGAGCAGCGCAGGCCGGACCTGACACTACAGGGTGTGGAGCGGCAGGTGCTGCAGTGGTACCTGTGCCGCATGGAGGGGTGGTTCGCTACAGACTTGAAGAATCTCTCTGCCAAATGCTGGGAGGAGGTGAGCCGTAGGGGCTTGTGGTGTGCTGACAGGAACAGAGCATCAGCATGCCATCATGCGGCTCATCCCATCATGCGGCTCATCCCATCATGCGGCTCATCCCATCATGCGGCTCATCCCATCATGCTGCTCATCCCATCATGCGGCTCATCCCATTATGCTGCACGCACGCACAATATGGTTGTAGGATGATCTAGTGGAGGGGGTCACGGCCTCATGGTGAAAGGCGACCTGCCTGTGCTGGACGCCCTTGCTTCCCATCTGGCCCCGTGTGCTTGTTACCCCATACTGCTCCTCACGTGCGTGCTGCTCACTCCATCATGTTGCATGCAGGAGGATCTAGTGGAGGGGGGTCATGGCCTCATGGTGAACGGCTACCTGCCTGTGCTGGACGCCCTTGCTTCCCATCTGGCCCCGTGTGCTTGTTACCCCATACTGCTCCTCACGTGCGTGCTGCTCACTCCATCATGTTGCATGCAGGAGGATCTAGTGGAGGGGGGTCACGGCCTCATGGTGAACGGCTACCTGCCTGTGCTGGACGCCCTTGCTTCCCATCTGGCCCCGTGTGCTTGTTACCCCATACTGCTCCTCACGTGCGTGCTGCTCACTCCATCATGTTGCATGCAGGAGGATCTAGTGGAGGGGGGTCACGGCCTCATGGTGAACGGCTACCTGCCTGTGCTGGACGCCCTTGCTTCCCATCTGGCCTCTTGGCTCGTTATCCCATTCTGCTCCTCACGTGCGCGCTGCTCACTCCATCATGCTGCATACAGGAGGATCTAGTGGAGGGGGGTCACGGCCTCATGGTTAACGGCTACCTGCCTGTGCTGGACGCCCTAGCTGCTGGGCTGGACATTCGTTTTAATCACAGGTGATGGCGTGATGTGATGTTGTGGTGGCCCTGGAGACGTGTATGTGAGCATGTGCACTCGATCAAGTCACGAAATTATGTGTTTTGGGCTTATTACGAAAGTCATTTGACATCTGTTGCAGTTACAGCAAATCCTTTCCTTCACTGCTTTTCCTTTTCCTGCCCGCTTCATTCTTTCTGACCCGCTTTTTCTCTTTCCCGCTTTCTTTCTCACAGAGTGGTCAACATTGACTGGTCCTCGTCACAGGATCTGGATAGATCAGTATCCGGAGGGATAGGAACAGCAGGGGAGGTGCTGGCTATGAGGGTAGAGGCAACAGGCGTAGGTGCAGCAGTGCAGGCAGGGCAGCAGCAGGGCAGCCATCAGTGTAACAGACTCACCGAGCAGGGTTCCGCTAACCACCGCATACCATGTGCTAGTCTCAGGTGCACTGGGTGTAGAGAGTGCGTTTTCGGCAGTAGTAACAGTATGCACGACACCAGAAGCGGAATTAGCAGCACATGTAACCCTGTAAGTCCTGCTGCTGCGGATGCACGCTGCTCGCCTAGCTGTCACATGTCCCAGAATCCCGGTTCTTGCACTAGTGAAGCTGTAGCTGACGTCAGTATGCCGTGTAGACCCGGTGTCCACGTCACCACGGCTGACGGCACCATCTTCTCCGCTGACGTGGCGGTTGTCACCCTGCCAGCTGGCGTTCTGCGGTTGTCTGTGGGCCACGTAGGCAGCTCAAATCAGGAGATTCCCTTAGCTGAGTCAGCCAATGGTGATAATCGCAGCAACTGTAGCAACTGCAGCAACTGCAGTAACGGTAACGGCAGTAACAGCTGTAAATGCAGTAGCAGCAGCAGAATAGGCAGCAGCAGCAACACCCATCCGTCCACCACCCCTACCCACCCCAACCGCATCCACTTCTCCCCTCCTCTCCCGCCATCCAAATGCACCGCTCTCCACTCCATCGGAGTCGGAATCGAGAACAAAATCGCGCTCCTCTTCCCCTCCTGCTTCTGGCCCTCGGTGGAATTCCTGGGAGTGGTAGCAGACACACCCTACGCATGCAGCTACTTCCTGAACCTGCACAAGGCCAGCCAGGGCGAGAGGGCAGTGCTGGTGTTCATGCCGGCAGGGCGGCTGGCAGAGGAGATGGAGGGGATGGGGGAGAGCGAGGCTGTGGCGTTCACCATGCTGCAGCTTAGGAAGATTCTGCCCCACGCGCCTGAACCTGTAAGCACTCTCCCCTGAAACACTGGCTTCCTCTCACCGGATTTTTATCTGAACGGGTTTGTTTGTGTGGTGAGTGAGAAGGGGAGGTTTACGCCTTTAGGGAGGTTCGTTGTAGAGGCGAGCCGGGGCGAGAGGGCGGTGCTTGTGTTCATGGCAGCAGGGCGGCTGGCAGAGGATATGGAGGAAATGGGGTAGTGTGAAACCATTGCATTCACCATGCTGCAGCTTAGGAAGATCCTTCCTATGTTTGCATTCGCTCAGGTTTGAATGAAGATTTCTTACCTATTCAATCCCTACTAGCCTAAAGCGCAGCCTAGAGAAGATTAGGACGAGTTACCTGTTGGATCCGGGTCGAAACTATTGCCGTATCCTTCCCCACGCGTCAGAATCTGTGAGTATGCTCCCCCAAAGCACCAGCAGTGCGTGAGTGTGGGGGTTCCACTCTTGGTGTTTCCATCCCCTCCTCTCCCTCCCCTCTGTTTCTTCACTTCTCCCACCCCCCATGCAGATCCAGGCGCACATCACCACGTGGGGGTCATACCTCTTTTCCCTCGGAGCCTACTCCCTAAGATGCAGTGCACGCCCCTCCCCGCGTCTTTCACTACCCCCCGTTTGCTTTTTTCACTCTGGCTTCCAAACAGATTCAGGCACGCATCACCACGTGGGGGTCAGATCCCTTCTCCCTCGGATCCTACTCCTACGATGCAGTGGACGCCCCTCCTGACGTCTACGATTCCCTCCGCGCCCCCCTCCCTCCCCTCTTCTTCGCCGGGGAAGCCACCTCACGCGCCCACCCTGGCACTGTTCACGGCGCGTTCTCCACCGGGCGGCAAGCTGCAAGAGAGGCGGCGGAATTCGTCCGGTTGTTGGGTTTCGGGGAAGGGCCGAGGATGGTAAGGAAGGATGAGAGCAAGAAACACGTGGCGCTGCTGCCACAGTCAGTGGTATCAGGAGGAGATGTGACTGGGGAAGAGAGCATTTTGTCTCATGTGGAAGCTTTTGGGAATGGTTCCGAGACTCACAACAACTCACTTGAGCAAGGGCAAGTGGGGGACAGCAGCACTATGGATTCCGGTCCATCGTCGTTGACTCAGCATGTGGTTTCCGGGGAAATCGAGGCAGGTCAGTCCAATCAGAACGAGGATGGTGCATCGAGTTTTGGAGCGCTATCAACAAGAAGACCTTGGAACACGATGGATGTTTCGCTGCCTGTGCATGTGATAGAAAGTAACGCTGAGTGTTCTCACTCAAGGGCTGTTTCTCGGGCGGGAAAGGCACTCTCAATTAGAATATCAAGGCTGTAGATGAGTTTCTGTAGGCTGTATATTGCAATGCTGATTGTGGCTAAATAGCCAGTTATTATAGAGTATTCTCTCTCCCTACACCGAACCAGTCGGTAATGAGTATTACACCCTCCCTCTCCTCCCCCTTCCCCTTCCTCGCAATCATCGCATTCCCTTCTGCGATGGCCGAAAATAGAGTGCGCGAGAATTTAGCACAATTGCAGCTGGGGCTGCTTTGTACCACAAGTTGTACTGCAGGGCGAACCACCTACCCAGGAATATATGGATCCCCAGACGGGGAACGTGCATTTCGTGGCGACGTAGACAGGCGCACGCGAAATAGACAAGCGCCTGGCAATTTTTTGGATTTGCCCGACGAAAATAGACAGGACGCAGACGGGCGAAAAAAAGGTCCACATATAGTTATAAAAATATGGTTCACGAAATTTCGCCAACATTTTGTGAATATTTCGTTCGGCGTGAACAGTGACACAGCGACGGTCGCCACATGGGGGTCGCGCAGAGAGGTCGCCAGTAACATGCAGAACAGTCAAGATGAGCAAATTTTGGTGCTTACATACAGAACAAATTGCACAATAAGGCTCTGAAACAATCCAAAATGGAGTCCACAGAATTGGCTGAGTGTTGGGAATTTTTTTGCTGGTTTTTTTTTTTAATGATACGATAGATTCAGCCATCCCATACCTTACTACAATGGAGAGATTAGTAAAAAACACATTTAAGGGTGGTTTGCTGCTCTAAATGCCTGCCTTCTGGCGTACCTTTAAACGCTGGTAACAGATAGGTTAGTGATGCAAATCATCTTCTGAATGGCTCTAGCATCTTCCCTAGACATCCTCTAGAGTTTAAGATTGAAATAAAATTTTTGGTGGAATTCACCAAAACCAACATATCAAGCTACTCCATTGAAGCTCCTAGTACATGACAACTCATTCTCTAGCTATCATGGACAGTTGTAAATTTCTTGCAAGTTGTTTTTTGGTTTTGAAGATTGTGCTACTGTTATCATCAACTATGTTGGCTGTCTGCCTACTCACGTTTGGTTCTTTCAGCAACCTGCACCATTTTGTGTCACAATCGCCTGCTTACTCATTTTGCTTTGCAAACCATTGTACTGTGGTCCAAATGAGCAGAGTTTTTTAGAGGAGTATCATTCCAACATTGAAAGATCCTGTACCAATTTTCAGATCAATCCAAAAACCAGAGAGAGGTTGTTGATGATGATTTTTGTCGTGGTTACCTTGACTTAGTCTAAGTTTTAAAGCACAAACCAAACATTGGAATTAATCTTTGAAACTCATAGGGGAGCCTCATGCTACTAATTATAGATCCCCCTCTCATTTTCAAGTCAATCCATTAAGTTTTGATAGGCCTTTTATGCTTTGTTGTGAAAGATAAGCCTGAAAACTTTGCAGAATTGACTGCAATTGGATTCACATGCAAAACACAAACTAAACATTGGAATTTAGCTCTGAAACTCATAGGGCAGCCTCATGCTATTAATTCTAGATCCCTCTCTCATTTTCAAGTCAATCCATTAAGGTTTGATAGGCCTTTTATGCTTTGTCATGATAGATATGCCTGAAAACTCTGCAGAATTGACTGCAATTGGATTCACAGGCAAAACACAAACTAAACATTGTAACGAAGCTCTGAAACTCATAGGGGAGCCTCATGTCACTAATTATAGACTCCCCTCTCATTTTCAAGTCAATCCATTAAGGTTTGGTAGGCCTTTTATGCTTTGTCGTGAAAGAGAAGCCTGAAAACTCTGCAGAATTGACCTCAATTGGATTCACATGAAAAACACAAACCAAACATTAGAATTTAGCTCTAAAACTCATAGGGGAGCCTCATGCTACTAATTATAGACCCCCCTCTCATTTTCAAGTCAATCCATTAAGGTTTGATAGGTCTTTTATGCTTTGTCGTGAAAGAGAAGCCTGAAAACTCTGCAGAATTGACTTCAATTGGATTCACATGCAAAACACAAACCAAACATTAGAATTTAGCTCTGAAACTCATAGGGAAGCCTCATATCACTAATTATAGATCCCCCTCTCATCTTCAAGTCAACCCATTAAGGTTTGATAGGCCTTTTATGCTTTGTCGTGAAAGATATGCCTGAAAACCCTGCAGAATTGACTGCAATTGGATTCACATGCAAAACACAAACCAAACATTGGAATTAAGCTCTGAAACTCATAGGGGAGTCTCAACACACTGATTATAGATCCCACTATCATTTTTAAGTCAATACAATAAGATTTGGTAGGTCATTCATGCTTTGTTATGCAAGATAAGCCTGAAATTTATGCAGAATTGTGCCAGTTTGGTGTCTGATGCAAAACACAAACCAAACCTTGGAATTAAGCTCTCAAACTCATAGGGGAGTCTCATCTTACTGATTATAGATCCCCCGATCATTTTCAGGTCAATCCAATAAGGTTTGATAGGCATTTCATCCTTTGTTCTGCAAGATAAGCCGGGAATTTCTGCAGAATGCCTGCGTCTGGGTTTTGATGCAAAACACAAACTAAACCTTAGAATTGAGCTCTCAAACTCATAAGGGAGTCTCATCACACCATTGAAAGACTCCCCTATCATTTTCGGAACAATCCAATAAGTCTAGATATGGTTTCGCCGCATTTTTCTGCAAGGTTTGCCTGAAATTGCAGCAAACATGTTTGCTTATGCATGCTTAAATTCCTATACTGAGACACTATAAAATCTCGACGATGTAGTTAAAAGTGAAGGGCATTGCGCTTGTACAGTGTGATGACAAAAGGAGGGTTCACATTCATGCAGCATTTCTCCATATTGACGGTTGATGGGCGCTACACAGTTTGGGTGTTTTTTTTTTAATGCAAACTTTCTGTATATTACACAATTATAGCACAATAGTTCACACTACACTTCACTCTTATCGCGTCAGGGCGCAACCTCGAGTACTAGCATAAAATGTAGAGTTAATATAGGGTAGACTCTGCATCTGGCAGTGTTAATCGGCTCAGAAACCTTCTCTGACACACTTCGTGTCAGATTCTATCTGGCGTGCAAGTTTCCAAAGGCTCGCAGATATCTGGGGATCCCACTCGCCCCATTTATTTTTACGGGCAGCCCTTACAAAACGTCTGGCGATGATCTCCAACCGCATACTAGGGTGTGCGGTGCAGAGGTCATCATCAACATCCTCTGCGTAGATAAGGGCTTCAGTGTGACGGCGCCACGTGTCAAACATTATATATGTTATGCTTGTGTAGGCTACAGTGGGTTAGCCTATAGGGGGTACACAACTCTAGGGTTTCCTACTTGTACTCATTCCACTGCTAGTTCGTTCACTTTTCCTATTTACTTGTTTCACACCACGTGTCCGTTCTTGGCAGAACATCTGCGACACCAGAGGCACGTGATTCCCCCCAATTTCGGAACACCAACCTTCGTGGGAGACAGCATGTTCTCGTTTAGATAGAGAGGTTGTTATCCAAATCCGAATATTCAGCTAAGGGTTCATCAGCCCAAAACAACTAAGCGAGGCAGTAAATTCTGCACACCACGACGTCTCATATGACGGCCACTAAAAGATTCGCTAAACCAGAGGCTCCATCTGCGAAGGTGAACGCGACCCAATCGTTGTTGCAACACGTGCTTCACCTCTGCTCGGAATCCTACGATTCAATCCATTTTGGCTGCAACGTCCATCGACCAACCTCATTCTCCCAGTTTTTGCATCCAATCTTGCTTCCTACGCGTAGAATGCAGAGATATCTTGAGAGGTCTTCTACTAGCTTCACCGGGTAGTTCCCGGTGCTTCAGCAACCTTAGGCAGAGACCGCGTCAAGAGTTTAGATAGCGACTTATTAACTCCAAGCCTACGACTGCTAATTGAGTAGAGGAACTGGGTCGCGCAAGCCATGGCCGACACACCTCTGCTTAGGGGTTTGCAGAAAGAGTGGTCAGAGGACCTTCTTAACTTCGCTATCTTGTAAGTACATCATCTGCCTTGTGTACATCGTATTGTTGGCACCTCAGCCCTCCGCATCGACTGTCTGTCAACTAAAACCGACCTCTGGTTTTCTATAATCTTTTTTTCATGCAGGGCATTAACCAAGACTCTGCTGCCCATACAACAACGGCAGAAGATTGCTATTTTTTCCTCATCCTTCGTAAGGAAACGGATTAAACTAATCCATCCGAAAGCGATATCGAAGAGGCCAACAGACGGCCTCCTCACCAAAGACGCCCTTGTATTCCCGCTGTGGTCCAAGTAAGTGTGTTATCGTTTTCGCATATCGCCTTCCACAAAGAAAAGTTCACTAACAATATGCGTTTGCAATGTGCCGATTGAGCAGCGAGCCGAAAGTGGCTATCAGCCTCCTCGTTCTCCTAGCTCCATGCGATCTCCGCTCTCCCACCCGGAGAACAGACCGTACACGGATCATCTTCTTCGACCCTAAGAGTGGTGTCCCGACTCACTCTCACGGAGATTTTGCTCAAGAAGTGTTGCAGTAAGTCATGCTGCTCATTGCCATTGAAACTGGATGGTTTACGATTCTGACTGTTATTCTGTCTTTGACTACAGATGGTTGCAGG